CGACGGCTATGCGCTCGGCATCACGCTGCTCGTCGCCCTGACCCCCCGCTGCGCCCTCGGCTTGCTCGACGAGTGCTATGATGCGCTTGCACTGGCCGCGTCTCGTCGCCACGCTCCGGCTCAGAAGGGGGGCTGTCGGCGGCTCGAGCGGCGAGGCGTGCCACTCTGCTTCGCCGCCGACAGCCCCTCTTCCGAGCCGGCGCGTGGCGACGAGCCGCGGCCAGTGCAAGCGCATCATCGCACTCGTCGAGCAAGCCGACGGCGCCGCGGCCGGTCAGGGCGACGAGCAGCGTGATGCCGAGCGCATAGCCGTCGGTCAGCACTGACGCCTGCCCGCTCTGCGAGATGATTGGGTCCATGTACCCTAGCTTGCCGAACAGGCGCTGCGTCGACAAGTGCGAGACCTGCTGGTTGCCGCCGGCCGTCGCCTCTGCCGCGCGCGCGAGGCCCACGTCGGCGAGGTAGCCGTTGCCGCGCTCGTCGAGCAGGATGTTGCCCGCCGAGACGTCGCGGTGCAGGATCATCGGAGAGAGCGTGTGCAGGTAGTGCAGCGCGCTCGCGGCGTCAGGGCGACGTGGTCGAAATGGAGTTCCAGCGGACCTACTACTACTATCTCCAGCCGATACTATCTCCAGCTACGTCACCTACACATTCGACACCGCCGCCGCCGCCGTCCCCCTCAACGCCGCCGCCGACATTTCCGCCTGCCTCTTCGCTCACCACAACATACGGGCGAGGGCTACTACCAGCGGAGGTGGCGAGGTCGGCGGTGGCTGAGGCGGTGGCGACGGCGACAGTGGGGGTGTAGTGGGCGCCGACGAGGGCGGTGGCGGAGCCGAGGGCTGTGGAAGCGGCGCATGTACAGAGGCTATCGACGGAGGCATCGAAGGTGGGGCCGAGGGCGTCGGCCGCTCGAGAGCGGTGACGGACGCGTCGGCGGTGGGGAAGGTGGCGGAGGCGACAGCGCCACAGAGGGGCGTGACGGAGACAGCGGCGACGGCGAGGTGGCGCCGGCGGGGGTGGGGACGGTGAGGGCGGGCGGGGGGGGGGGGGGGGGGAGCGGCGACGGCGGTGATGAAGACGGCGGCGGCGTGGTCGGCGGCAGCGATGGTGGAGGCGGTATAGGCGGTGTTGAGAGGGGCGGCGGAGAGTGAGACGACGATGACGGCGGCGGCGAAGAGGGTGG